TCGCCTGGAGCTGGTGCTGCTGAGGGTGTTGGCGCTGAGACTACCACTGGTGGTTTTACTGGCGGTGCTGCTGGTGCTGCTGGAGGTTCTGGGGCTACTGGAGGAGTTGCTGGGGGTTCTCGAGCTACTGGAGGTGCTGCTGGAGGTGCTGCTGGAGCGGGTACTCCTGCTGGGGGTACTGGTGCTGTCCTTGCTGTTTCTGGCGTCGCCACGCGGCCCCGACCGTACTTCGTACCGCTCTTGCAGCAGGTTCTTGGTCTTCCACCTTCTCCTGGTCCTCCTCCTCCTCCCTTAGAGAGCCCACAGCCAGTCCAGTCACAGCTGCAGCCTGCCTCCCCTTTGCCTGCTCCTTCTCCCTACGCTGGTCCGACTGGAGGTCTTACTGAGCGTCGTGAGCCTGCGTCTCGTCCTGCGTCGCCTGTTCGTACTGCGCGCACTAGTGGTCGCGGTTCGCGTCAGCGTCCGCCTCTTGTCCCTGGCACGCACCGGATGTCTCTGCGTCCGTCCACTGCTCCTCTACGTGCCCCTTTGCCTTCTCCTCCTTCTTCCTCTCTTCCTGCTCTTGCCGACCCGGAGTCGGACTCTCTTCGTGCTGCCAGTCCTACTGTCACACGTCTCCTTGCTACTGCTGTCACTGACCCTTCTTTCGAGTCTTCTGCTGCGTCTGCCCTTGTCACTGAGCTCGTCAACTTTGCTGCGCGCTGTCGTCTAGACTACGCTGCTGGTCTTGTCGCTGAGTCTGAGTCTACCTGTCCTCCGTCCGTCAGGGGTGAGTGTGCCCTTGGCACGGACGTCCTTGAGGACAGGCAGGAGGAGTTCCAGTGTCTGGCCGCCGCTTCACCTCATCTCGCGTCTGTACTGCTAGCCCCTAAGGGAGACCTGGACGCACTAGACATCCCGACTCCGCGCTCTTACGCGGAGGCGATAGAGGGTCCCTACTCCTCTCAGTGGCAGGCAGCTATGGATGCAGAGATGGCTTCCTGGAAGTCCACAGGCACCTACGTTGACGCTGTTCCCCCTCCTGGGCCGAACATCGTCAGTGGCATGTGGATCTTCAGGGTGAAGCGGCCGCCGGGTTCTCCGCCTGTCTTCAAGGCGCGGTACGTGGCCCGTGGTTTCAGTCAGCGGCAGGGAGTTGACTAGTTTCAGACCTTCTCCCCCACCCCGAAGATGACCACTCTTTGGGTACTACTGCACGTTGCTGCTCACCGTGACTACGAGCTGCACTCTCTCGACTTCAGCACTGCTTTCTTGCAGGGCAGCCTGCACGAGGAGATCTGGCTGCATCGCCCACCTGGCTTCACTGGGTCTTTCCCTCCTGGTACCCAGTGGAGTCTCCGGCGTCCAGTCTACGGTCTCCGCCAGGCGCCGCGTGAGTGGCACGACACACTGAGGACTACGCTGGCGGCACTTGGGTTTGCTCCCTCCACTGCAGACCCGTCGCTGTTTCTGCGCACCGACACCTCTCTGCCGCCGTTCTACATCCTCGTGTACGTCGACGACTTGGTCTTTGCCACAGCTGACACTGCTGGACTCGCCTACGTGAAGTCCGAGCTGCAGAAGAGACACACGTGCACTAACCTGGGTGAACTGCGCAGCTACCTTGGCTTGCAGATCACCCGGGACAGAGCACGCCGCACCATTACCCTGACTCAGTCACACATGGTGCAGCAGGTCCTTCAGCGCTTCGGCTTCACGTACTCCTCGCCTCAGGCCACTCCTCTGCCTACTCGCCACTCGCTCTCAGCTCTGCCTTCGGATGAGTCCGTAGAGTCGAGTGGCCCGTATGCAGAGCTTGTTGGCTGCCTCATGTACCTGATGACCTGCACACGACCTGACCTTGCATACCCTCTTAGCATTCTTGCACGCTATGTTGCTCCTGGGAGACACCGACCAGAGCACATGGCTGCAGCGAAGAGGGTGTTGCGCTACTTGTGCAGTACGTCGGGCATGGGGCTAGTGCTTGGAGGGCGCAGTCCAGTGGTCCTCACTGGGCACGCGGACGCGTCTTGGGCTGACGACCAGGCTACGCAGCGGTCGTCACAGGGTTACACCTTCAGTCTTGGTTCCGGCTCTGTTTCGTGGAGGGCTACCCGCTCGTCTTCTGTTCTTGGCTCCAGTTGTGAGGCTGAGATCTATGCCGGGGCCATGGCTGCACAGGAGTTACGCTGGCTCACCTACCTGCTGACCGACCTTGGAGAGCCGCCTCGTTCTCCTCAAGTCCTGTACGTAGACAACAAGGCCATGCTGGCCTTGTGTCGAGAGCAGCGACTGGAGCACAGGACAAAGCACATTGCTCTCCGCTACTTTCTTGCTCGTGAGCTACAGCAGCGTGGACAGCTGCGACTTGCGTACGTGGCCTCTGAGGCCAACACTGCTGATGTCTTCACCAAGGCACTTGCGCCTTGTGATCATCAGCGCTGCTGCACGCAGCTGGGCCTTGTGCCTGCCTTGCCTCACTTGCTCACTTCTTGACCTTGCTTGTACTTTTACCTATATATACTCTTGCTCTTGCTTGCTTGCCTCTTGTATATCTCTATATATGATCTTGCATGTGAACTGGCCTTGTGGCCTTTGAACTTGTGCTCGGAATGTGTGATGACTTTGTGATCCACCCTGAGCTTTGCTTTGCTTTGCTTGACTGGTCTTGTGACCCCTTGTTCTCCCCCACTTTGCCTATGGGGGTGTGTCAGAACATTATAGCTTACTTATTTGTGTAGGCTATAGTGGGGTATCCCATAGGGGGTACAACCCAATTAGGGTTTCCTATTTGTACTCACCTCGTTCATAGTTCACTCATTCTCTCGTTTACTTCTTCTGAGGGAGGCAACGAGTGAAGGTGCAGAGGCACAGGCACAGGAGCGGCTGACTCAGTGGCTACCAAAGCAAGGGCGACAGACTACTGGAGTGATTGGCTCCGCGGCTATAGACGAGCGGCAGGAGCAACGGACCCACTGGCGACCGGTGCAACGGGCTCACTGGCTACCAAAGCAAGGGCGACGGACTACAGGCGCTTCAGGTGACACGACAGCTACCTCCACACAACCTCCTCCAACTGACCCACACCCTTGACACACACCCCCTGCTGAACCCCTAACTCCACTCCCATGTCACCCCCCTAGCACCACTCCTTCGGCTCCACACACCCACCCCCCTGAGCGGCAGCTGCAGCAGTGGGAGACGGAGGAGGAGGAGCAGGGGACGGCGCACGCAACCGGCACCCCCACAATTGTCACCCCCACAGTCCCCACCCCCAAACCCTAAAACGGGTGGCATGGGGTAGGAGCGCGGGGGACGGTGCGCGGCTCCGGCCCCCAGGGCGCCACCACGGGGCAGCGAGGGGCCGCGCGCGGCTCCAGGGGTAGCGCGCGGTCCCCAGGGCGCCACCACGGGGCAGCGAGGGGCCGCGCACGGCTCCAAGGGTGGTGCGTGGCCCCTAGGGTACCACCACGGGGCAGCGAGGGGCCGCGCGCGGCTCCCTAGGGCGCCGCGACGTGAGGGGCGGGGGCCGCGCGTGCTCCCCAGGGCGCCGCGACGAGCAGGGCGGGGGCCGCGCGTGCTCCTTAGGCCGCGACGAGCAAGGCGGGGGCCGCGCGTGCTCCCCAGGGCGCCGCGACGAGAAGGGCGGGGGCCGCGCGCGGGTCCCCAAGGAAGAAAATCGCCGCGCGCCTCGGGGCGCACGGCGGGCAGAAAACTGCCGCGCACCCTGAGCGCACGGCGGAAAGAAAAAACGAAAAACCGGCAGGAAGGAGGAGTCGCACGCCACAGGGCGTGCAACAAACAGAGTAGCAGCGGAAGCAGCTAGGTGGGCCCACAGGCCAGAAGCGTAGATGCTCTGATGGCATGTTACGATAGTAAGCAGAGTAAGGAGCCATAGCTAGGGTTAGCTAGCTAGGCAAGAGAGAAATTAAGAAAGGAGGGGTTTCACTAGCAGCAGTTGGGATACATATAGCAAACCCTAACAGGGTTGTACTTGCTATAGAGCACCCCATTACAGGCTAGATAATAACATTTTGACAAAGCCGTCGTACTCTCACACCACTGCCGCCAGTTTCGTAGGTTAGCGATTGTTTCGTCAACTCGTGTTGGACTATTTCGTAGTAGACTTTGGGGGATGGGGGGAACCGTACTTCGAGAACCTTCAAGCTTACATCCCGCCAACGATTAACTCCAGGTGTCTGGCAGTGGGGGTGAGTTGGTCCCCTCATTTTTAAGGATGGTGAGAATCCCTTTGACTTCGTGCCTGTAGCACGCTACCGTCTTTTAGGCGATGAAATTGGGCAGCGCAGCCAAACGTTGCGATGAAACTTAGTTCCCGCGGTCGGGTTTCACATTTTCGCGATGGTGGCGCACGTGGCTGATCGGTTGGTCAGTATGGGACCAGCAGATCCGGTCTATCCCGTCTGTAACGCATGTGGATTGTGTTAAGGGCACTCCGCTACGCCAATTAACACCCTCGTTTTGATCCAGTGGGTAGCAAGGTGTTACATTTGGTATCAGAGCCTAGGGTTCGAGTCCCGGCTGGTCCACATTTTCTGCCAGTGGCGAGAACTGAAATGTGGTTACCAGCTCGAACCCAGTGAACGATCCTGAAATCTAGGTCCTAGGTGCAGAGGGCCGACTCCCTGAAGTCCGAAGCCAACGGGGACGTTGGCGCCAGGGGGGGGGCGAGTGTAACGCCTGTGGGCTGTGTTAAGGGCACTCCACTGCGCCAACTGACACCCTCGTTTTGACCCAGTGGGTAGCGAGGTGTTACACCGTCCGTCGCTCGGAGAACCGCTCTCACTCTTTCCGCCGCCTCGCCTTCGGAGCAGTCACTTATCCCGCGATGCTCCTACACCGCCCTTCTGTCGGTGCCTCGCGCACCCTGCAAGCCTCTACAAAGAGCATAGGACCTTCCGAGTTAATATTCCATCGAGCGAGCGAGTCGTCGAGTCAGCGACCCTTTTTTACCCATTTCCCGCCGCTCCCAGCCGTCCAACTCGAACCTCCCGCCAGCCATGGTGCGCCAGGCTCCTCCTCAGCGCGGGACGCCTCTGCTGCTGCTGCTCGCTATGATCATCTCGGCGACTGTCGCCGTCACGCAAGATGCGATCGACCCCGTCACCTACGTGCCGGCCACTCACAGTTTGACGTTCGGTCCGGGGTACATCGCGTCTGTGAACACCGCAACCAACGCGCCGTCACTAGCCGTTGTCGACTCCACTGGCGCGCCTGTCGCGCCCACTTCTAATGCGGACGGATCCTCCACGGTGGCCGGGTACACCGCGTACCCGAATGGCACCATCAATGGTCCGGGCGGCCTTTCCATCTACATTGGTGCCGGCGACGCGCTGGCTGCTATGGGAACAACAATAGTCCTGAAGAACGGAACCATTGTGGACGGTTCGGGAATGAATTTCGTGCTGGCAACGAACCCTGACGGGTCGTACACTGCAGGGGACATGACCGGGTGGGCTAACAGCACCATCGTTGGCAGCGGCGGCGCCGTGATCAACGCCGGCGCGCTGCTCACCCTCACAGCGGACGGCAGCATTGCTTTCGCTCCGCAGGCAGCCCCTCCCGTGCCTGGCGTCGCCATCTCCGTGAATCCCGGCGCCCGCAGCCTGTCGGTGGGCGGCTACATGGTGTCGTTGAGTGGCAATAAGCTCTCCGTGCTAGACTCCACCGGCAAGCCTGTCACCACCACCACCAACCCCGACGGGTCCCGCTGTCTTGGCGACTACAGGCTTTACAAGAGCGGCACGATCGCTGCTCCGGGCAGCATTGCCATTGACACTTCCGGTCCCAACGCAGGGCTGCGTGTGGGAACAACGACAGTTTTGATAGTAAACAGAACGGTTCTGGACGGTATGGGAGCGAAGATTGTGCCGACGGGTCCGAATGAGGACGGGTCGTAGAGTGCAGGGGACGTGAAAGGGTGGGCCAATAGGACTGTTTTTGACACCAACTCTGGTGTGGTGTTCTATGCTGGGGCGCCGCTGGCCGTCACAGCTGATGGCAGGGTCACTTTGGCTTCTCCTTCCCTTCCCACTGCTACCGCTGCTGCTCCCTCTGCTGGTGTTGCTTCTCCTCCCGCTGGTGCCGCTTCTCCTCCTACTGATGCCAGTGCTCCTCCTAGTGATGCCGATGGTTCTACTGCTGATGTCGGTGCTCCCCCTGCTGGTTCCACTTCTCCCCCTGCTGGTGCCTCTACTCCTGCCACTCCTCCTCCCCCACCCAAGAGTGTTGGTGAGTTGCTTCTCCCTCTCTGAGGTGCTACTCAACCTTTTCCATTTTTCAAATAGTTCTGTTGCCTCAATCTTGCCTTCCTATTTGCTACCTCACCCTCTTATTCCGCTGCCCTTTTCCACACATCTCACTACTCCGATGCTTCCTTTTCTCCTCTCTATCGTAGGATGTTTTGACCTGAGTCTAATTTCCCTGTTATTCCCCTTCGCAATGGCAGGTTTGCTTGCTTCACCGGCCACTGCTCTCGCTGCTGCTCTCATCACTCTCGCCCTTGCCCCGCTCATGTTCATGTAGAGCAACGCAGCTCCATGTAAGACCAGTCGTGGGCGCAGGTGACCTTGAGTCGCTTCACCGGCCGCTGATCTCACTGCTATCATCACTCTCGCCTTTGCGCCAATCATGTCCATGCAGAGCAACGCAGCTCCATGTAAGACCAGGCGAGGACACAAGAAGCCACGAGTGGTTTGCACTGTGCACTAACATGTTATCATAATTCAATTGCTTATTTCCATCCCAGGCCATTTCTTGCATGGATTGGGTAACTCCCATACTTGTTCCTACTTGTTAACAGTTAGGGTACATTCCTGTGTGGACACAAATGTCTCAATCGCTTTGTGACACCCAAAAACAGCATATAGCGTACAATGTCGCAAACGCGTGGCGCACTAGTGCGACCTTTACTGTATTTATCAATGGTCAGCGTGACATGCGGTACTATCGTGGACGGGTTGGACGAGGCCCCGTCACACATGTAAAGTCGCACGCGTGTCGAAATGTCGAGCTCCCCCCCGGCTCGACCGCATGCATCTGGACGCCCGGAATGGTGACAATTTTGAGCGGGAAAAGCAACCGCCCTGCGCGTGTATCCAATCGAGTGGTACCCAGGCCCGTGAAGTTACGCATCCCTGCCCGCCAGCCGAAACCCAACTTCCCGTCCCTGCCATCTTATCACCCACTTCAAACCCTCTCTCAACTCTAGTCCAGATCTATTCTCACCCTTGTTCTCTCTCGTTTATCCAGAACTTTTCTCTTTGGCAGCCATGGCTAGGAAGCGCAAGACAGCAGCAGACGCTGCTACCGACGTCCCGCGAGATCTCAATGAGATCACGTACATAGCCTGGATTAACAAGCAGATTGCTTCGGGGCGCAAGCCCGCGGGCCCGATGCCTGAAGGAATACCGTCACCTGGAGCCACCTCCTACGAAGCTGCGCGTGACGTTCCAATGCGCGGTCGCCGTGACGCCGACCGGGTTGCATCCTCGCGGGTCATCGACGACAATCCGCTTCTCGACGACGATGACGATAGCGATTACAACAAGTACGCCGTCGGGACCGACGACGAGGCGGACTCTGGCGAGGAGCCGGACAAGGGCATGTCCGACTCAGAGGATGACGGCAAGGGCGAAGAGTCCGAGGATGAGGCCGATGCACCAGAGGAAACTCAGCCCTTGGCCCCGACCACGCGTGTCGGCCGTGCGACGTCTGCAGGCACCGCGAAAACCGCCTCAAAGGGAGGCGAGCCTCCACGCCGCGTGCCAAAGACCCGCAACCAGATGCCTGTGAAGCGCAGTGTCTGGTCTCCGCTAGAGAGCACGATCTTTGTGGCCGCCCGCTGGTTCATGAAAGACGAACTGGAGCCGCTGCTGGGGAAGCAGGGCTCGCAGTATTGGGCGCGCCTTGTCAAGAACCTCGAAAAGGAGAACCCGGGGTGCGTTCCGGCGTCAACGCAGTTCAGAAACAGTGGCGGAACCTCATCAAGTTCTACAAGCAGCTCAAGAAGGGAGAAAAGGCGTCGAGAAAGGGTGCCGTGTGCAAGCCCTCATGGTACCCGTACATGGAACTATATTGCAACAATCGGGCCGTCGCCAACCCACATGCTGTGGCTGGCGGCGGCGCGTCGAGCGTCAACGTGCCGTGCGGGTTCACGGTGCCTTCCACGTCGGCTCCAACCACGACTACTCCAACCTTTACAGGTGAGTTTTGCATATTCCGTTATTTGGCACTGTGTTTGAGTGTAATTCTTTGAGGGGTATAGAATAGTACATCTCTCACAACCTTGCGCGCCATACACACATGCAGGCTAACCACCAATGCATGTCTCTGCTTGTGTGTCCAGCCCCTCCTCCGCAATGCACCCCACCCTCTAAACGCCCGCGGGTTGCGGAGACCGCAACCATGGCCACCACGAAGCTAGTTTGTGAGACGATCAAAGGATGCCACGAGGATGCGATGTGCAAGCTCGAAGGACTCGTGCGCGCCTGAATGCAGCAGGACAAGCGAATTGCGCGCGAACGCCTCCAGCCGACTGCGCCACCTATGCCTGCATGCAACGACGCTCCTGCTGGCGCTGTCTCCCAGTCTGCCACGAACGCCGCCGAAGGCAACGACGACGGATGGCTCCACCGCGGGCAGACTGGAAACGACTCGGCTAACCCAAATGCTGACGAGGAAGTGTGGGTTCGCGGCGACGCCGAGTAAGGTACGACGACTCCAACGCCTCGCCAAGCCACTTGCGCCTCTCCTTGAGTGTTGCTTGTGTGAGAGGGACACATGGCTCCCACTTGAAATCGGCCACCGAGCCTCTTGTCGGGTGCTGGCGGGTCTCTGTTCCGGGGCATGGTTGCCCACACCTCATTGATGCGCCCAACCTGCCCCATTGTCTCGCACATGTTGTGCAGGATTACGTAGCAAGACGCACCTGCCAGCACTCGCCACAGCTGGCAGTCGTTGCGGCCCGCGAATAGTCACCATCTGCCCTTGAAGGCGCTGATGTAACGTTCTACCGCCATGCGCGATGCGCTCTGGCAATAGTTGAAGCACTGCGCCCAGTCTTCCATTAGGCCCTCATGGGGTGCATGTAGTGGGGTCAGGTAGAAATCTCTGAGTAGGTAGGCTGCATCTCCCACAATTTGATACTGCGTTATGTCGCCGTTGTGCAACCTTTCTTGTAACGCATTGTTCATGTACACCCTTTGGTCGTGTGCACTTCCCAGGCACCCGATCAGGTAATCCCAGATGATGCCACGCACATCACATCTGAGCTGAAGTTGAACGGCGTACACTGACTTCCTCGTGTAGTACTCCTGTCTGTGCCCTTCCATCCCTTTTATGCGTATGTGCGTCCCATCTATAGCCCCAACCACTGTAGGTACTCCTCTGACGGCGCGGAACTCCTCGGCCATCTCGGCGAGGTCTTCTGGAGTCGGGAAGTGCACCCACTGCTGCTTGAAGACGCTCGGGAAGTGCATGAGCCACAAGTCGACAAGTTCATGACAAAGGGTCTTCGACAGCCCGAAATGTGATGACTGGCTAGGTACTTTTTAGCCACCAAGCTCGCGACGTCGTGCGAGACGAAGTATCGCTCAACGTAGGGCAGCATGTAGTACGCCATTCCTTTGACAATGTACGCTAGAATGGTGCGATTAATCCTGAAGAGCTCCCTGAACTCCCTGTCGCCCATGCCTTGCAGGTCTTCGCCTAACAGCTCGTACCGTCGGCGATGCAGACGTGCCCTCCTTGTGCGCTCGGCCGTCCTGTTGGATCAGTGAGAGCTCTCTGCCGTGGAGTGGTCGCTGTCGAATACCTCGGCTTCCAGGATGCCGTAGACAGCCCGTCCTACTACGTCCAAAAAAATGGTGTAGTAGAATGTAATCCATGTGACTAGAAGGCGCATGAGAAATGGGACAGCACGAGGTTCCGCCATGACTGCAACCACAGCCACGGTTGCAGTGTGTGTGCGATGTGGTAGTTTGGGAGATGGAGCAGATGATGCTCGTTGTGCATTTGTAGGTGATGATGCGATGCACTAGGCTGCGTTGTACGAGGTGTTTGGTGTGGTGCAGCAGGCACAAATTGTTTACAGCCGTGCCCGGCGCCAAACATCCCAGACACGGGCCCAATGGGGCGAGCCAATCATATTCGATTATGTGTATTTGGTATTCTGTCTCACAATGTTGCGATACATCAGCTGTTTGTGACGCGCAAATTTGCAAATTTACAGACGCGACTCGGGAAAAGGGGGATTGAGACATTTGTGTCCACACTGGAATGTACCCTTATGTACAGTAACAGCACAATGTACAAGAACAGAGAGGTGCTAAAAGGATTCACCTCGAAGGGGGATGTTACAACGAAAATGAGTCGAAATAAAGCACCCACCCCACACAAGCCACCCGGGGATGTTCGGCAGGTGGTATGCCCGGGTGATGACGGGTACCGGTACCGTAACCATGCTGTACCCACCCCACACAAGTACCGTTAGTGCACCATGCTGCTACACACCAGGCCTCTGGATAGGTTTGGAAGCACTCTTAGTCGAAAGGGCAGTTTGCCCTACCTGGTCTTTCAGTAAGGGTGGGACAGCCATGTCAGTCTTGCTTATCAGGGTTGGCTGCAGTGTTACTCGTGCTCGTCAGTGTGCTATGCGCCTCGATTAGAAATTGTGCATTGTCTAGACAAAAAACTACAGCTACACGACTACAACTAGAACAATAACTGCAGGACTATATGGTTCCATCTTAGCAGAATACCACACACAATTCAATACAAGAATTCCTGGCCGGGACGTCGCTTCTTGGCAGCATTGAACAGGGCTACCACATTCACCCAGTTCAGACCTTCACTGGGCAGGAGTGCTGCAGTCATCAGATCGCACAGTTTGGCGTCGCCCAGGCAGGTCCGTTTCCAGGTCTTGATACGGTTCTGGCGACTGAAGCCACGCTCGCACTCCACCGTGCTGAGGGGGAGCACCGCTACGGCCTGCCACAGCTGCACAAGGTTCGGGTAAGCGCCCATGTAGTCGGTTGACTGCAGCATAAGCGAAAGGGACTTGTGGAAGCTCATGTTGCTGTGGTTGGTATCCATGGTGTGGAGAAACAACGGCAGCTCCCTCACGCACGCCTTGAAGCACACACCTGACAGTATGGGAGAGCAGTGAGGGGGGCGGTCGGTGCGTATAAGAGGTGTTTAGCAGCAGACCAGGGTACACACACACACACACACACAGCAGACAGCACATGTCAGGCTCAACTAGGTGGCGTACCAGGGAGGCGGCGGTGAAACATGTGGTCCAACATGCCCAACCACTCGCGGCACTTCTTCATCCGCTGCGCGTTGTCGTCGCGATAGCACGAAGGCCGGAAAAGCTTGGACCCGGCCAGGTCGTTCAGGTCTTCAAGGCGGAACTCGAGTCGCTCAACGCAGGCCTTTGCAAACTCCTGGCACACCGCCTTGCAGGAGTAGTAGTCACCGCCAGTCGTATGCCCAGGGATCTTGCGCTCATGAAGCACGAACTTGTGCTCAGCAGCATCGCCATTCTGGTCCACGCCTTTGACGGTGACCTCGCGGTGGTCGGGGTTGCCATGCTTCTTCAAGAACGCGCAGAGCAAGGGCGATTGCTCGTTGCCGAATCGATCCTCGCAGTCCACGTAACACACTTCGATCGTCCTGCAAGCGAGCGACACCTCCCCTGCGACCACCGTGATGTCTACCTGTGAGTGGGAATGGGATGTGGAGTTGCTGCCAGAGGTTGATTTACGATGGTTAACAACGGCAACCTTCCGCCACTAACAACAACGGGGAACTAGACCGGTAAACATGCTACCAAGATGGGAAACGACGGCAAATATGTACAAAATCAACACCCCACACGTCACCTGCTGCTTCTGGAACTTGGCGTTGAGGTCGTTGAGCACGGCAAGAATGTCTGCAAGGAAGAAGAGCATGAAGTGGAATTTGAACGAGGTAACAACTTCATAGAGCGCGTGCTTGAAGTCGTTTAGCAACACGATCGTGGCCGGCAGAACCTTGGCGAACCGCTTGACTGCCTCCCCTCGAGAGAGCCAGCGCACGTCGTTGATCCCCTGCAGCTCCAAGTTGGTTTCGCAGATGTACTCCTGAAGATGCTCGAAGCGCCTGTGCCAGTTGCTCGACCTAGATAGCTGCTCCGCCACATTGCGCACCGCCTGGTCGATGATGTTGAACTCTGGCACCTTCTCCGCGGCATCCTTCGCGGCCAAAGCCTCCCTGCTCAATGCAAAACAGAGAAAAGGAGTGATTAGAATGAGTGAGCAGGGCATGAGCAGCACAACACACCTGCCTTAAAGCCAATACCACAGATCGACTTACCTGTGTGCGACGCAGTGGCACGACACGAGGTACGGATTCTTCGCCCGGAGTCGTGCCACAACACCGTTGTTGCTGCCCGTCATGACAGCAGCGCCGTCGGTGCTGATTCCGACGATCCTGGCAATGTCAATGCCCACCGCGTCTAGGTGGGTCAAAAGCACGTCGGTGAGAGTTTCCGCGTCACATTTGCCAACCGTCAGCAGCGTGAGAAACTCACAGACGCTCTCCCCGTCCTTCATGAAAGTCGCGTAGACTATCATGTGCTTGCCGCGCGCCTTGTCTGTACTCTCGTCGAGCTGTATGGAGAGGTACGGGCTCGCCCCGATGTGCTTCAGTTGCTCTTGCCGCATGTACTTCGCGACCGCATCTAGTAATTCCGCGAAACCGTACCTGCATAAGCCATTAAAACAGGTTAGCACGTTTCCAATCAAGGCAATGCAAACTGAACAAGTACAACGACAGCACCCCGAGACAACTTACTCCAAAAAGTAGTTGCCTTTGGAATCCAGAGGCAGGTTCGGGACTCCGAGGTCGGCCATGAACTTGATAGTGCCCACGTAGGAGGTGATTGGCGCCTCCGACTTGCAGATGTACACGGTGGTCTTGAGCGCGGTGATGATGTGAAGCGTGCTCCTATCCAATCCCTCGAACTCGCTCAGCAACGCCTGTCGAAGCTTCCGGCTCTCCTTCGCCTTCATCTCGGCGTGAGCGTCCTGGTGTGCGGTGGAGCGCTGGTGCGTCCGGATGCTGTCCTTTTGCATGTCACGCCCTCCACTGCCTCCCTTGCCGTATGCCGTTTTCGCGCCTTCCGCTCCATGCTCCAAGCACGTGCTGCATCTCAAAATAGGGAAGCCAACGTCGTCACGAGTTAGAATAAGCCACGGAAACGAGGATTCCCATGACGTTTTAAATCGCTTGTGCGCCATAGCGAAAGCGACTTCGGGGTAACGGGCCATCTCTTCTACAGTCGGCAGGTCGTCCTCTTCCTCCTCGTCATCACTCCCCCGGTCCTCCACTCGTATGGTTGGACGTGCGGCTCGCTTCGAAAAGAGGTTCGGTTGTCGCCACCACTGCTTAGCACTGCCACCGCTTGAATCCTTGCGCTTCTTGGTCGCGGAGTCGTCAACCGCAGCGTCGATCTCCGTTACAGGAGCCGTCGCCTCTGGAAGAGTAGGTTCGGTCGTTGTAGTGCAAAGTTCAGGTGAGCGCAGGTCACGGCCCGATTCATCCACACGGGTTTCATTCTCGGTAGAATCAACTACAGGCTGCGGAACGGGAAGCTTCAAGGCGGGGGTTCGTAGAAAGCTGAGGCCCGTTCGCGGGGGTGAATTCTGGACATGACCACTTGCTTCGTCGTCACCATCACTGGTCTCATCAACAGCCATGGCGAGGATCAGAAGGTGGATCGACGAGCTGGGCCTAGGCTGGCTGTAAGAGAGCGTGATGGCGTGGCGTGGTTGCAAACCCTAGGCTAGAGGAGATGGCAAGGAGGAAGGATGGAGAGAAACGAAACGAGGAGGACTGGGGTTGGGTGCGTGCGTGAGACTGGTCGGTAGGTGGGTGGAGGGGGGGGGGTTGCTGGATGGATGGAAAGGGAAGAAGATGCTTCTACGCAGGACACACCTTCAGCACGAAGTAGGAGTGTGTGGCGCTGCGCGGCATTGTCAGCTGTGATAATGGCAGGTGAGTCAGGTACAGTTCACGGTACCGTGGCAGTGGCGACGCGAGCCGTCTAGGCGACGCGCATCTGCTGACTCAGGCAAAACGCCGCTAATCGCGGCCCAAATCTCGTGAGTAGCCCCCCCCCCCCCCCCCCCCCCCCCCCCCCCCTCCCGTCAAATCGCATCAGGGTGGTACGCGACACTAGTCTTGGTCATCAGGGCGAGTACACCCAGCATGTCTTAAATATAAGTGTTAACAAAATGCACACTTTTCCGTCTAAGTGTGCTTCATAAACCAACTTTTGAAAACAAGGGTGAAGACCTAAACCCACCCTTATAGTAAGGGCCATAAGGGTGTTTCACCCTGATATCGAGAGGCCTGCTACACACAGATCCTTCAACTCTACTCTTTCAAAAGAGTCCTCAAGTTCAAAACGCTTGGTACTCTGAAACTGCATGCCAATGCCTACGAAGTGAAGCGAAAACCAGGCGTGTTGATGGAGTACACGCGGACGTAAGTGCGTGGATTTTGCCGATGGTTTTGAGCCGCGTCAGTTACAGTTGTGCAAGATGGCTAAAGTGTTTCACAAATCTGGTTCGCTCTATAAAGATGTGATGGCACTAGTGTTTGCTAACAGCAGCCAGCCTCACTCAGGTGGTGGCTACTCCCTCACTCAACCCATGGGCTCCAGACTTTTGGCAGCATTAAGACATGACAAACAGGACCAGCAACAACGTTGTTCCACCTGTGGCCTCTCAACAGCAAACAGTGGCACCTATACCCTACACTACACTACATGTGCCGGACTGCCAGTCCCTTGCCTTGCCTGGACGTTCACATCACATCACATCACATTACTCCACCTCCTCCACCTCCACTTTTGCCCCACCTGTGCTTCTGCCACACCCACCCTGTGCGGCTCTCACATCATTCACACCCGGCACATGGAGGGTCACACCCGGCACATGGAGGAGAGGGTCACCCGGCACTGCGCAGGAGCATTGCTTCTGGCATGCGATATCAGGTTCCCCTCATATGTCACCACCCCCACTGCCTCGCTGTTCCTCCTCCACCTCGCGCCACCTCCCTCCATCTCCCTTCACCTCCACTCTGCCCCACCCCTGCTGCCACATCCTGTGTGGCTCTTGCATCAGTCACACCCGGCACTGCGCAGGAGCCTTGCTGCTGGCATGCGATATGATGCTCGCCTCATCTGCCACCACCCCCACTGCATCGCTGTTCCTCCTCCACCTCCACACCGCCTCGCCCTTGCTGGCGCCCCCTCCCACTGACAGCACCCCAAACCCATACGCTGCCTGCCGGAAGGCCGACCACACAGGCTTTGGGGAGAGGAAACTGCGCGTTGAGGGGGAAGGTTGGAGAGGTGGGGATAAGGAGGTTTTATAACACCGGGAGAAAGAGGTGACCACGCAGGCTTGGGGGAGAGGAAACTGCGCGTTGAGGGGGAAGGTAGGAGAGGTGGGGATAGGTTATATAACACCGAGAGAAAGAGGTGACCACGCAGGCTTGGGGGAGAGGAAACTGCGCGTTGAGGGGGAAGGTAGGAGAGGTGGGGATAAAGGAGGTTTTATAACACCGGGAGAAAAAGGTGACCATGCAGGCTTGGGGGAGAGGAAACTGCGTGTTGAGGGGGAAAGTAGGAGAGGTGGGGATAAAGGAGGTTTTATAACACCGGGAGAAAAAGGTGACCATGCAGGCTTGGGGGAGAGGAAACTGCGTGTTGAGGGGGATGGGGGGAAGTTGGAAGAGGGAGGATTTTCAACCCCAGGAGAAGGCTGGGGAGGGGGAGGAGGAGTGGGGGTGGGAGGATTGGAGTGGGAATGAAAGGTGGACAAGGGAAAGAAAGTGAGACGATTTGAGGAACGACAACAAGGAGGGGTTGGGCAAATTTGAAGAAATTACATTTAAAAGAGGTGCAAGGGAGAACGAGGAAGAAGAGACGAAAAGGGCAATTGAAAGAAGAGGAAAGACTAGTTAGGGAGGGGGGTTTTGTCAGTGCGAGCAGGGGAAGGAGAAGAGGTGACGAGAAAGGGCATTTCGACCAGGAAGTCAAGGTTGTGGGGTTGCATTTGATTGACAAGTAGTGAAGGAGGATGAAGAGGAAACGAGAAGCCTGTGGGAATTTGGTTGGCATGAAGCAAAATACAGTGTGGCGGTGCCTTATGTCATGACTATCAAAATTATAAGATGGCTTAAAACGAGTTGCTTGTGTGTGTGCGTGCGTGTGTGTGTGTGTGTGTGTGTGTGAGCATGAGCGTGCGTCTGCGTGTGAGCATGCGCGCTCGCGCATGTGCATGTGAGTATGTTTCTATCAACGCATCTGCACTTAGAACGAGTTACCTTGTGTAAAGGTCGGCCCCACCACTGCCGACAGTGAGGTGCACCATGCCGCAGGGGTCCTGGGCTTTGTTGTAGAGAGGCAGCTGGGGGAACGTGATGGTGGGGGATGCATGCATGGGATAGTTGGGAGATGCATGCACATGATGTTGGGAAGATGCATGCAACGACAGAATACACACTGATATTCAAATTCAAGGAGCGTACACACCGACATCAGCAGTGAGATGCAGCATGGCATGCACAGGTTGAAGAGAGAGTGGGAAGGGGATATGAGCGGACAAGGAGAGGGGAGTGGTGACAAGAGGGATGAGAGGGCAAGGGAATGCAGAAGACGGGGAGAGAGAAGATGGGGAGGCAAGGAGCTGAATATACGGATTGGGAACAGTGAGTTGGGGTGGCATGCCATGCATCCCAGAGGATGGCATGGGCCGGCCTGAAATGCTTTATGCAATCACCATGCATGCCCCCATGCACGATGCCACATGCACCATCCTTCATGTGACGCTCGCTGTCCTTAGTGACAAGTGCAAATGATCTTTCATGGCACACAGAATCTGCTCCAGCGCCCTGGCAGCACAAGAGCATCACCTCTCATCATACACCACACATGACCATGAGCATGCAAAGCCCACCCATAGCCTCGGACACTCTCCATGCACTGCGCATGCACGTGCGTGCGTGCATAAGCCGACTACCATGCCAATCCCTCCCCCACCTCTCCCCTCCCCCTCCAAACCACCATGTGCTCATAAGCTCTCCAAACCACCATGTGCTCATAAGCTCTCCAACTCACCGTGCGCTCATAAGCGTGAACGTGCCCGCACGCACGCGGCACACCACCACATCCGTGCGCACATCATACAGCATCTTCTCGAGCGCCAGGCGCATGTCCTCCCACCACACTGCGCACACCATTCAACTCAACTCATACAGCATCTGCGTTCAACTCACCGTCCTCTCGTAAGCATGCACGTGGCCGCACACCACCACGTCCGTGTGCGCGGCGTACAGCAGCTTCTCAAGCGCCAGGCGCATGTCCTCGCCGCTCTTATGGTGGTCCTTGTTGCTGTGATACCACGGCTCGTGGAACGCCGCTATCAGCCACGGCGTCACCTTGCGATCCACCTTGGCTAGGTCTGCCTGCAGAAAGTGTGCGGGAGGGGAGGAAAGGGGTTTTGGGGTTGGGGAGAAGGGGGGAATTCAAACGAGAAAATAAGGTTTGAGTGCGACCTACTAGCAGCATCAACAGCACATACAGAGGGACAGCATAGAGGGAGAGCAGAGAGGGAGAGCAGAGAAGGAGAGCACAGAGGGATAAGCATGCAGGGCCTGGCAGCACACCTGCAGCCAGTTGTACTGAGCGGATCCCTGGGAGTAGTCGGAGTAGCAGGAGAGCACGACCCAGTGAATGCTGCCGCTGTCAAACGAGTAGTACAGGTTCGAAGGCGACCCACTGGCAGCGGCCGGCATGGGCCAGCGCGCGTTGTACGCCTTGAAGGGGTTGGAGCTCGGCGCGCCCTCGTCCTCCTCGTCCTCATGGTTCCCCGGGGCCATCATCCAGGGGCGGAGAGATGAGGCAGGCTGGATGAGGGACTGCCACGTGTCCCAATCTGGTTGGTAGCCGTTGGCGTAGGAGAGGTCCCCTGGGAAGACCACGAGGGCGTGGGGCGTGCGGGAGAGGCGCGAGATGGTGGCGGCTGCTGGTGGCGCAGAACCCATGTCGGCTGGTGGGGGGGAAGGTGGGGGGGTGTGGTAACGGGGATGGGGGAGGAGAGGGAGGTGGGGTTGGGGGAAGGAGGGAGGGTTATATAGAGATTTTCGTGTGCTGAGGGAGAAAGAGAGGGGTGGCACGAGCGGAGAAGGGCGATAAGCCTTCAGGCGTAGCCCCTCCCACTTCGCCCACCCACATCCCCTGTCCCCAAACCACAACACAGCCACACACAAAGCAGCGCAGCCCACCCTGTCCCAAGCCACAGACACAACACAACACAACACAACACAACACAACACAACACAACACAACACAACACAACACAACACAACACAACACAACACAACACAACACAACACAACACTACACAACACAACACAACACAACACAACACAACACAACACAACACTACACAACCGGTACGGCCAGCCAAACACAAGAGGTTTGACCCACCCACGAGCGCCACGCTGATGGGTTGGGACGATGGCGGCGGCGTCTTGAAGGCCCTTGCAGGCCCCGCGCCTCCCAGGCGGTAGTAGTAGGTGGTGCCGGGCTTTAAGACGCCGTCCTTCCTGGGCCGCCCCAGCAGCACCTTGTGGATGTACCCCGACCTGCTTGCGGGTGGCAGGGCAGGGATGATGACGTGGCGATGGGGCAGGGTGGGAACAGGGCATGGGTGACGTGGCAAGATGGCATGGAGAATGTGGCAGAAAGAGGACGCAGTCAGGGGCATTGGAGCATGCAGGGAGAGGAGGGACGGAAGAGAGGAAACGAAATTGAGAGAGGAGCTAAAAAGGTGAAGTGGAGAGATACAGGGAACGAATAACTCGTACGTGTATCCATTAAGCGTATAACGAGTCACACTCCCGGAAGCCGTTTTGGTGTACTTGCCGCGGCTCTCCCCATACTCCACACTGGCGGGCGTGCTGCCACTCGTTACCCACCACACCAGCACCCGCCCGCCCCCCGCCAGTGACACGTGCACCTGCATGGGAGGAGGGGAGGGGAGGGCGGGGTGGGGGGGGTGGGGATGGTGGTGGGGGGGGGGAAAGGGGGAGGAGAGGGGGGGGCAGGGGAGAGGCAAGGGCATGGCGCAAAGGCATGGGGCACTAGCTGGTGTGTTGCCAGCTGTCGCCCACCACACCAGCACTCGGCCGCCGCCCGCCAGCGATACGTGCACCTGCATGCGCGGGGGGTGGAGGGGAGCGGAGGGCAGGGCGGAAAGGCCTCATGGGGCATGGCGCAAAGGCATGGGTAGTGGCGCAGGGAAGCGGAGGTCGAGACTTCCATTGCCCGTGCAGGGGAGGCCTTGCCTCGATTGGCTGCCTCGTTGGGTGGGCAAGAGGCGAAGGCGCGAGGGGCACAGGGCAAGGGGGGGCAAGGGGCTCAAGAAAGGGCAGGGGACAAGGGGCAAGGGTAGGGCAAGGGGCAAGGGGACGGGCAAAGCGGCAAGGGGGCAAGCGGAAAGGGGGCAAGCGGCAATGGGCAAGCGACAAAGAACAAGGAGCAAGGGGCAAGCGGCGCAAGGGGCAAGGGGGAAATGAGCAAGGGCGCAAGCATCAAGGGGCAAGCGGCGCAAGTGGCAGGGGGCAGGGGGGTGCAACTTGCGGCAACACGCCCGGGGCAAGGGGGAAGTGCCGTGCCTGTTGAGGCTGCGATTGCGCTATCTGCCGCAGCAGCACCCGCCCGCCGCGCAACCAGGCTGTGCGATTTCCACCCTGCGCGGAGCCAGCAGATGCCGCGTGGGGGCAGGCGGCGGCGACGAGCAGCGCGAGCAGCGCAAGAGCACGGAAATTCCGCGCAACGGCGCAAGGCGATCGGCGGAGAAAATGCGCGGAACTAACGATGGCGGGCCGTCTACTATTCATTGCGGGACTGATGCTATTACACGGCTGTGTTCGAAACTCCAAACACGAAAGCGTACAATCCTAAATCTTCAAACAAGGTAATAAACGTGGCGAGTGGATAGGTTTCCCTTTTACCGTAACAGGTCGATGTCACTGTAGAGCCCCGCGGAGTTCATGGCGCCTGGCAAAAAGGACTGTATTCTCAGTTGAGTTGCATTGTAAGGAAGGAACAGCCTAATGTCGCAGAGTCGCACTACTAACCGCCTAAGATTGCATTCCCTCTGGACGTTCGCTCGCATCGCTGTTTAGCCGTGAGATTTGATCGCACGATGGGACTCGTGGCGTTGGCCACAGTCAGTACAACATTCGTTGTCAGGTAAGAAACAAGTGTAACCGTCGAACCGCGCTTCGTTCCCCGGACCAGAGCAGACAAACGCCATCTAATCTACTGACGATTAATCTGAAGTGTAACTCAAAGCAGAGTGAAGCGGGTCATACTTTTGTTCGGTTCCAATATGAATTAACAATCTTGGTGCGCAATGGCCCAAACGAACCGCGACTGAATATAATTGACCGTATTAAACCATGTCAAATGAGCCCCGAACAAAAAAAAATTGCCTGCCCTTATCCAAAACCCAACTGCAGCTCAGCCCTGGCAGTCGAATGAACTTTTCATGTCGGCGAAGTTCGGTTTGGATGGATGTGCTGACGGTTGTCAATTTCGATTGTTGGGTAAGGGGCGCTCCCACGTGCTATCCCACTCGTTCCACGTGGATAGCGCAGCACAGCACATATACACCCTGTTTCTCAATACTATGAACTGTGCCGAACTGGTGGAAAACCTAGCTACCTTCGATTTGTCTGATTGAACCATACCGAGACTTCATCTAACCACTGTTAACCGTGCTTTTCCCATCTTGACTTCACTAAAACCGGATTCACAATGGCGAGAAAGAGGGTGTATGCTCGACCACCGACATCGACGGACACCACCTTCGTGTCAACGAAGCGGACGGTGTTTGGACGGTTTGGTACAGAACGGAAGTTGCGGCGGACAAGGGGAAAGACTCACTTGAACAGTGTCCTCTTTCCGACGAACTGATTCAACTTGTTTTTAGAGCCAGACGTACATAACTGGAAAATCAGACGGATACATACTTCAATCTCTATGAACCTCAAACAAGTCCTAAAACACAAGTGAAGTGAAACCTTTATATCGTGTCCGCACTATTGAGCCGCTTATACTGAATGAGTGGAAAACTCCACAATAATTGACCTGTTGATTCAATATCCAAACACAACGGGATATCTAGCCAAGTACAGTATAAGGCGTGGCGTAGATTAGAAGACCGCAAGCTCCACTGAAATCCATACAGCTATATGAAGCATCTCTCCTCCCTCCTTCAGATCTACTACCGGTACATGAAATGAACCATCTCCCTGTGAGGCAACTTTTGAGTCGACTCAAGACTTTGAACAGGTCAACGCTACAGCCTCCTGCTTTGCATGAACCATCTCCCAGCGGCGTATTTCGATGGTTGTTGGCAATCGACTTATCCAGAAAACTCCAACGAGTAATGAACTCCATACAAGGCCACATGGAAAATACTTCCTTTCGTGGACCCTATATGAACCATCTCCCTTCGAGACCTACATGAACCATCTCCCCGCGGCGTATTTTGATTGGTTGTTGGTGGCCGTCTTATCCAGAAAGGGTCCGACGAACCAATGGCGTGCGTCGACAAACCACCAGACGAAGAAGAAGGAAACTACCACGAAGATTCCGACACACGCGTAGTTGAAGTTGCTTGCGGTGATGGGGAAGACCATTGGTAGCATAAAGATGCTGACTGTTTCAAGGACAAAGAGAATGGCTCCAATGTTGATCAGTTTCCTGCACTCCAATAGGCAGAGGGTGAGTGAGAGATAGAGAGAGGAGGGGAGGGGTGGAGGTGAATGAGTAGTGCCTTCTGCAAGGGTTAGAGAAGAGGAGAGAGACCATGGTTTAGGGAGGAGGGGTGAATGAGCAGCGCCGTCTGCAAGGGTTAGAGAAAAAGACAGAGATCAACTCTTATGCCCCATACACACACTCGTACCAGGCTCGCACAGACCGAGGCAGAGCATTGCAGCAAGGCAAGGCAAGTCTTGAAAGGTCTCAAGAAACCCACATGAGGTATACATACGAGTTTCGAGACATGTCAAAAGATGTTCGCACCAGGAGCAAACCCACTAAGAGAGTGAGCACTGCTGCACCAAACCAAGCCATGCCATGCCATGCTGTGCTTTCTAACTCACCTGCCCCACGCACCCTCTCCCGCCCTCACCTGCCCCAGACGCCGACGTATTTAGAGAGGTAGAACGGGCCCGGTTCAAAGTCCTCCTCCCTTTGAATGAGCCGAAAGAAGATGGGGACAGCATAGCCGCCCACCCAGGCGACGGTGGCGAGGGAGGTGATGGCGGAGAAGAGGAAAGAGTCCTTGAGGAGTGGCAGGGAGAAGAGGATGGCGACGCCACAGCAGAGCCACACGGAGTAGATGGGCGTCTTGTCTCGGTTCACCCGCCGCCAGATGAACGCGAATGGCAGGCCCTTGTCTCGCGATATGGCGTAGGCCTGGGGGGATGGGGTGGGCGGGGGAGGGGTGCAGGGGGTGCAGGGCGGAGCGGAGGGGGGGAGGGGATGAGGAGAAGGTGGGGAAAAGGAGGGAATGTGTAAAGGGGAGTAGCCAGGGGATTAGTGAGGAGGAAGAGGGCAGAGTCCTCGAGGAGGGGCAGGGAGAAGAGGATGGGTGAAAAGGATGAAGGAGCAAGCACAGGCAGGGGCGGGTGAGCAAGCACAGGCAGGGGCGGGTGAGCAAGCACAGGCAGGGCCGGGTGAGCAAGCACAGGCAGGGCCGGGTGAGCAAGGCAAACACATGGACGGATGGGAGTGACTGACTGACCGCTCCGAGGGCTCCAAGCCAAGAAGGCCTCCTTGCTGAATTCAGATTTGAGAATTCTCAAAAGCAACTCGGGCTGTGCTTGCAAGCAGAGGGCGGAGGGAACAGTGACTGACCGCGCGGGAGGCGCCAAGAATGCCGGCGAAGACGCCAAAGAGGAAGGCGATGTAGATGAGTGAGAGCACCACCACCGCCCCTGTGCCGCTGCCGAAGCTGTTGCAGGAGACAGGCATAAGAGGGGACAGCAACACACGGGAGCACGAGGGGGGTGCATGGGAGGATGGAAGAGGAAGGCGATGTAGATGAGCGAGAGCACCACCATCGCCCCTGTGCCGCTGCCAAACCTGTGGGGGGAGGGGGGCATGTTGGGGGGGGAGTGGGGCAAGCAGAGGACAGTAGGGAGGAAGAGGAGGGCAATGCAGATGCGTGAGAGCACTGCCACTGCCCAGCTGGTGGGGAACATAACCCCTGCATAGCTGTCAAAAGTGTGGTGGGAAAGGGGTTAGGGTGATAAGGGGAAAGAGAGGTGAACACGGGGGTTTGGAAGAGGAAAGCGACGTGGATGAGCGAAAGCACGACTTTTGAGGCGCCTCAAAAGACGATGAGAGTGGATGAGCAAAAGCACGACCACCACCACCCCTGTGTCGTTGCCAAGACTGTGCGGGGAGGGGGGGGGAGGATGGGGTGGGCGTGGTTGAGGTGAGAATGAGGAGGATATGAGTGAACACAGGAAAGGTGGGATATGACAACACATAGGGGGAAGGGGGAAGGGGGAAGCCATATACCAAGCCAATCACTAAGCAACTCCCGAACCTCTTATGGAGGCAGTTCTTGAGACACCCACCACGCCGCGAAGGCCTCCGGTATGATGGTAGCCAGGATCTGCTGCCAGCCCGTCATGCTGTCCCTGCTGGTGAGATTGCCACCGCTCTAAACACCCAAGTACCCTTGGTGAAGCCCACGGCAGGTTGCTTGCACGCGAGCAGCAGCCGAACCACTTCCCCAGCCACTTACCGAGCCACAAAGGCCTCCCAGATGGTAGTCAGTAACCGACTGATGAGCCGATCTGATCTGCTGCCCGCCCGTAACGCTATCCGTACTGGTGGGATTCTCTTCGTCCTGAATGCTAAAAGTGAAGGCCACGAGCAGCCCCCGGGCGAGCCACTTACCGAGGCACCTACCGAGCTGCCCACCGAACCACGTACCGAGCGAAAAAGGCCTCCCAGATGATGGTAACCAGGATCTGATTGCCGGCCGTAACGCTGTCCGGGCTGGTGAGGTTGTCGTCGTTCTGAATGCAGAAGGTGAAGGCGACGAGCAGCCCCCACGCGAGCAGGCTGACCGCGGACAGGCAGAGCACCATGCTGGCTGGGGACGCGCGATCGGAGCGCTTGGTCTCCTCTGCCATGTGGGCCACTGTGTCGTATGCGTAGAGGGAGTACTGCGATAGCTGCATCGCTGCTATGAAGGCGTACGCCTGTAAGAGAAGAATAGGGTGCGGTGAAGAGAGGTGAAGAGAGGTGGGTCTCAGGTAGAGAGCGCTTGGTCTCCTCTGCCATGTGGGCCACTGTGTCGTATGCGTAGAGGGAGTACTGGGATAGCTGCATCGCTGCTATGAAGGCGTACGCCTGGGCAGGGTCCAGAGGGGAAGGGAGGGAAGGTGAGAGAGGGAATAGATGAAGTTGCATGTGGGTGGTGGCGGGTGCATGTCTCTGCCATGCTGGCTGGCAGGGAACGTGTGGTTAGAGCTCTTGATTTCTTCTGCTATGTGGGCGGCGGTGTCGTATGCGTAGAGGGAGTACTGGGACAGCTGCATGGCTGCTATGAAGGCGTAGGCCCGGGGGGGGATTGGAAGGGGGATGTGCAGCAATGGGTATCAAAGTGAGAGGAGGGGCACGCAGGTGAGAGGCGTTTTTGAGGCGCCTCGAAACTTGCCTGGGAGGTGGGGATGGGGAGGGAGGCAGGGATTGGCATCACAAGTCAGAGGAGGGGCACACACTTGTGTGACACTTTGAGCAACATCAGTCCAGGGCCTGTCATGCTGGGTTTAGACGAAGAGATTCAGTGGTGCAGAGTGGTGCAAAGCGTGCGGCAATGACACATCCAGCTGCAACTTGTAGTGAGTGGAGATGAAAGCTGGCGTATAGCGCACGCACACAGGCCATAGATTGAGCGGTGCAGAATAGTGCAGAGAGGTGTAGAGTGTTGTAGGGTGGTGCAGTGGTGGCGCAGTGGCAGTGCACTGGCATTGCAGTGCGGTACTCACCACAGTGGCCAGCAAAGACACGTCCGGCTGCACGTGTTCTGGGTGAAGACCAAGGCTAGCGCCTGGCGCACATAGGTCATTTATTCAACGGTGCAGAGCGGTGTACAGTGGTGCAGAGTGGTGGAGATGGGTACTCACCATAGTGGGCAGCAGAGACACGTCCAGCTGCACGTGGTGGTGAGTGAAGACAAAGGAGGCACTCTGGTGCACTGGCGCTACCGACGGCAGCAGAATCATGATGACTATGGCGAGACCCATCTAGGGACGAAGGAAGTGGTTAAGGGCAGAAGAAAGGGTGGGAACACGTGTAGAGGGAGGTTGGCTTGGCAGCAGCAGGGGAATGGGATGGGATGACTGGCAGTAGCGAGGGGAGCAGAATCAGCTGCTCAAAGGGGAAACCCATGTGGAAGGGGAAACCCGTCTGGGGAGTAAGGGGGGGAGAGTAGCATCAGCCCGGGAGGGAAGGGGGATGGAGAATGATGGAAGAGAGGATGGGATGACTGGCGCAGCGCACAGGTGCTAGTGCTACTGCGGTGCAGCAGAATCCTGGAGACTATGGCGATTCCCATTTGGGGAGGGGGAGAGTGGTAAGTGGGAGAGGGGAGAGTGGAAGCAGGGGAATGCGGTGGGCGGCGGTATCAAGGGCAGCAGAAGAATCATGGTGTGGTGACAAAGGCGAGTCCCATCTGGGGGTGGAGCATGGGAGAGAAACATAGAGAGAAACTGATAAGTCTACCTGACCTGACCTGATAAACAGCACTGCTGATTACGGCCACACGACCGATGAACTCGATTGACAAGGAGTTGAGGATGCCGCAGAGGAGAGCACGTGAGTAGAGGGGGGGGGGGGGGGAGGAAGGAGGGGAGGAGGAGTGGTGCTGCTGAGCGGCTACAGTGAAGGGGATGCTGCTAAAGTGATGGCAACCCACCTGGTAATCATCAGCGCTCATCACGGCCACACGGCCGATGAACTTAATTGAGGAGTTGAGAGGAGGAGAGGGAAGTGTGGGAGGGGGGCGAGCAGGGGAGTGCGCGCAAGTGGGAAGGGAGGCTGACCTGACAAACAGCGCTCATCACGGCCAGATGGCCGATGAACTTGATGGGGAAGGAGTTGAGTTGAGGAGTCGGAGTGTTTGTGAGCGGGCGGGCGGGCGGGAGGCATGCATAGAGCAGGGGAGGGTTTCGGGGAGCTACTTACAAAGCATTGCTGCCACAGTAGAGACAGGCAGATTACCCGATAGACGGCACTGACGACGGCAAGGCGGCCAATGAACTTGATGGAGAAGGAGTTGAGAATGCCGCAGAGGAGAATGGCGCCCACTGTGATGGCAAACGACTCGTAGTTCTTCAGTAGGTAGCCTCCCCCGTTGGGCCCTCCTAGTGATGGGAAGGAGGGAGGAGGGAGAGAGGAGAGGAGGGTAGCCAAGGGAGCAGGGAGGGGGAGGAAGAGGAATGAGTGAAGAAGAATGAGGGTGTTTGGTGCACAGGCGCTACTGCAGGCAGCAGAATCATGATTGGCTGACACGAAAAAATGATGGGAATTGTGATAGGCAGGAAACACGAGTGGAAAGGAATAAAGAGAGGTGAAGAGGTGAGTTGCAAGCAAGAAGTTTAGAAATATTTTCCAATGTAAAAGATACATGAAAGAGTAGTGGAGGAAAAACCCCCCCATGGCCCCCCCAAGGCCCCCCTAAGGCCCCCCTACCCCCCAACTCTCCTCACAGCCCCTCACACAGCACCCCACCCCCACCCCCCCCCCCCCCTCGCATCGCCCCTCACACAGCCCCCCTCACACAGCCTGGCCGGGCCAGAACTTACATGCATGCCCTGGTTTCTTATTGTCCGTCCCTGTCCCTGCTGGCCTCTGTCTCTCTGTAATAATTGACTTCCATTTCGGTTTCTGCTTGTCCCTGTCCCTCTCCCTGCTTCTGTCCCTGTCTCTGTTTCTCTTCCTGTTTTGGTTTCACATCCCGAGCCTCCGCTCGAGGTCTGGCCTGACCTCCTTGGGTCGCCCCGGACCTCTCCAGGCCTGGCCAGGGCACGGCCACACCGGCTCATATAGCACGCCAAACACGCACGAGTACCTACCTAAGTTTGGAATCCATTTGTCAATCCTAGAGTATGTATTTAATATCCTACTTGTTCATTGTGTCTTCACAGCAGAGAGCGTCAAGATGGCGCCCCGCAAGGGAGAACCCCACCTGCCAAAGGTGGGGTGGGGTGGGGTGGGGAGGAGGGACGGATGGGGGGATGGCGGGTGTGAGGGGATGGCGTGTGGCGGGTTCTGAAGCTTGGCAGATGTGGCGAGTGGTGGGGAGGAGAGGAGGTGAACACAGGGGAGGAGAGTTGAGCAGAGGGGAGGAGAGAAGGTGAACGAAGGGAGGAGAGGAGGTGAACGAAGGGGAGGAGAGGAGGTGAATGGAGGGGAGGAGAGGAGGTGAACGGAGGGGAGGAGAGGAGGTGAACGGAGGGGAGGAGAGGAGGTGAACGGAGAGGAGGAGAGGGTTTAGCATAGGAACTGGCGGGATGCCACGTGTGGTGCGGCCGAGCCGAGCCTCTTACCTGGCTGTGACGAGCCTCTCACCTGGCTATGACGAGCCTCTCACCTGGCTGTGACGAGCCTCTCACCTGGCTGTGACAAGCCTCTCATCCGGCTGTGACGAGCCTCTCACTTGGCTCTGACGAGCCTCTCATCTGGCTGTGACGAGCCTCTCACCTGGTTGTGACGAGCCTCTCACCTGGCTGTGACGAGCCTCTCACCTGGCTATGACGAGCCTCTCACCTGGCTGGGACGAGCCTCTCACCTGGCTGTGACGAGCCTCTCATCTGGCTGTGACGAGCCTCTCACCTGCCTGTGACGAGCCTCTCATCTGGCTGTGACGAGCCTCTCACCTGCCTGTGACGAGCCTCTCATCTGGTTGTGACGAGCCTCTCACCTGGCTGTGACGAGCCTCTCACCTCGCTGTGACGAGCCTCTCACCTGGCTGTGACGAGCCCCTCACCTGGCTGTGACGAGCCATCATGGGAATATCATCATGGCGACCGCATGAGAAAATGGCACCTGCGCAAGGGGAGAGGGACAGTTCGAGTAGGGGGCAGATCAAGCGAGCGGGGGGAGTAGAGCAAGCGACCAGGATGAGATGAGGGCGTATTAGAGAAAAAGCGGAAAGATGAGGCCTGAGTGCATGGGAAAAGGATTGGAGAATGGGTGTGAATCGCCAGGAATGCGCCGAAAGTGGGAGCAGAGACGAAAGTGGAAAGCAATTTGAGTAGCACGAGCAGTGCAGTGCAGGCAATCCTGGCACATGATCGGAAGCGTCAAAAGACTCACCTGCGTGCAGAACAAGACAAGTGATATTGGTAGGTAGGTAGCAGCCGGGTGTCCGCGCCGCGAGTATGCATCATCGCATGCGGCATGGCATGGCATCGCGTGGCATGGAAGTCGCATCGCATGGCATGGCAGCACTTTTCGAGTCGAAGGTGTCGCCAGCTTCGTCGTCAACGAGAGCCATGTGGTTACCAGCCTCCTGAACAAACCATCACGTATACACACAGCACAGAACGAAACAGCATGAGTCAATATAGTACCATTCACAACCACTGAAGCTATATGCTAGCTTCAAGAGATGCACGCTGGAAGCTTGAAGCTCTCGCAGCGGGTCAGCCAATCGTCACGCACCTGGAAACTACTAACGCACGGTGATTCTAATCCAACGCACATGGAAAACCTCGTTCCAGGCGCGCCTGCCACGCTGCTGTTCGTGCGCCTGCCACGCGGTTACTCGCGCGCCTGCCACGCGGTTAATCGTGCGCGCCTGCCACGCGGTTAATCGTGCGCGCCTGCCACGCGGTTAATCGTGCGCGCCTGCCGCGGTGATGCTGGGTGGGAGAGGAGGTGCGGGGTAGGGTGAGTGGTGCAAGCTAGGAGAAGTGAATTACAGGGCGCGGGTACAGAGAGGTATAGGCGCAAAGGCGAGAAACCGATGTGAGGTAGGGCACAGAGATGTATTTTGGCACAAGGCAATAGTACCTGGTTCGATTCGTCGGTGCAAGGATCAGTTTCTAACAGCTGGAGTCGCTACAGTAGTAATGTGAATATCTCGTTATGTGCTGAAGTTGAATATCCCGTCAAGGTGACCTCGAGAGTCGCATATCAGGACACTCTGCAGCTAAGGGGTGGGGAAAAGGAGCGGATGTGGGCGAGTCGACAAGGCAAGAAAGCAGGATGAGACCCGAAATGGCAGAAAAGCCTTCACACAAGTCAATACAGCAGTGCGAGATGGGAAATCTAGACGAAATGTAGGGTTTTTGTTAAACAAACAGCTGTTAGGTCAGAAACGTCGCTTTTGACGCTGCTCGGTGATCAGATAAACGAGATCGGATGCAACTTGAACCAGTCAGTCAGACATAATCTAGAAAGTGAATGTAGGAAAGGGCAGCGCGTACCTGCGGATATAAGCAGCGCAGATCGTAGCGTTTAACTTTAGGCGTTACGCGTGATCATTCGCGTGCGCTGGTTGACTATTTCGTTGCCGTTTTGTTCGGTGCGAGCGTGGAAAGGGCTACGAGAGAGCAGACGCGAATGATACTCCATTCTATCCTTTTGGTCCTAGCAACGTCGACCGAACTAGGAACAACCGTCTGACGGTGTTGGTGGCGGAATTGATACGAGAGCGCAGTATGGAGGCGGGGATGCGGTGAGGACGTGGGAAAACCGAAAGCAACAGTATGTGCGACGGAACAAGTGACTAGCGTGCGACGCAACAGGCGATTCGCATGTGACACTAGCCGTCGCCGCAACAGATGCCTAGCACGCGTCTCGACCAAAGACTTGGCTAGGTAGTAGGAAAGGGCTAGGATGCGGTGAGGACGCGGGAAAACCGAAAGAAACAAGTATGCGCGACGGAACAAGTGACTAGTGCGCAACGCAACAGGCGATTCGCATGTGACACTAGCCGTCGCCGCAACTGATTCCTAGCAAGCGTCTCGACCGAAGACTTGGCTAGTAAGTTGGAAAGATAAGCAACTTCCGTTATTGGGAACGCATCGCTAGCGGCGCCACTAGAGTGGGGAACGGCCACTTTCAGAGGTATGAAAGGCGACGAATATCGAGAGAGAGTAGAGAGTGGGTGCTGGAGCAGATGGGGATGAAATGCAACCCCACCCCACCCACCCACAACATGTTCTGCAACATGTCGGTCAAAAAGAAATATAACTAAGCAGCACAACCTCTCGCCCTAATTAGAAGCGGAAATTCGTGACCAATGCGCTTGTATGATTGGGAAACAATCCCAAAGTAGCTCCAGAGGGAAGGGATGGGGGGGGAAAAAAAAAGACGAAACACAAAAAAGAGGGGGGGGGTGGAAAACAGAGTCTTCAACCGGAGTGTGATTGGAAACACTATCGAGGGGGATGTCAAGCGGTTCCGATTTGCAAGGGGTGTCAACGCGATTCCAATTTGCAAGGGGTGTCAAAACGGTTCCAATTTGCAGGGGGTGTCAACAAGGTACTGATTTGCAGCGTGGTCTCGTCAATAGCAAATTTGGATCCTCTACTTATGCATGCCAACCAACTAACACTTATAACAAAATGTAAATAGAAAATAGAAACAGCATCAGTAATAGCCAAATGTAGTAGCATGAGCAGTAGCAAATAACAGCAACACCAGCAGTAGCACCACATTACAGCTGTAATACTAGTAATACAGCTAGAGCTACAGCTGTAATAGTAGTACCACATTAAAACTGTAATACTAGTACTACATCTATATCTACATCAACACCAACACCAACACCAACAACAACAACAACAACAACAACAACAACAACAACAACAACAACAACAACAACAACAACAACAACAACAACAACAACAACAACAACAACAACAACAACAACAACAACAACAACAACAACAACAACAACAACTACAACCAACAACTACTACAACCAACAACAACAACAACAACAACAACAACAACAACAACAACAACAACAACAACAACAACAACAACAACAACAACAACAACAACAACAACAACAACAACAACAACAACAACAACAACAACAACAACAATAACCAACAACAACAACAATAACCAACAACACAAGCAGCACCAAGAAAAATAAGCAGCGACAGCAGCATCATGAAATAGCAGTAGCAAATTGCTGCAACATTAGAAATATTAGCAATATCAAATAGCAGAAGCACAAGCAGCACTAGAAAAAATAGAAGGGGAAGGAGAAGGCATGTAATCTGACAAGCAAACTGTCACTAAATTACTAAGGGAAGGAGAAGGGGAAGGAGAAGGGGAAGGAGCAGTGGAAGAAGAAGGGGAAGGAGAAGGGGAAGGAGATTGGGAAGGAGAGGGCGAAGGAGAAGGGGAAGGAGAAGGGGAAGGAGAAGGGGAAAGAGGAGGGAAGGAGAAGGGGAAGGAGAATGGGAATGAGAAGGCGAAAGAGAAGGCGAAGGAGAAGGGAAAGGAGAAGGAAGGGGAACAGGAAGAGGAAGGAGAGGGGAAGGCGAAGGGGAAGGAGAAGGGGAAGGAGAATGGGAAGCGAAAGAGAAGGCGAAGGAGAAGGGGAAGGAGAAGGGGAAGGAGAAGGGGAAGGAGAAGGGGAAGGAGAAGGAAGAGGAACAGGAAGAGGAAGGAGAGGGGAAGGCGAAGGGGAAGGAGAAGGCGAAGGAGAAGGCAAAGGTGTAGGAGAAGGCAAAGGAGAAGGCGAAGGAGAAGGCGAAGGCGAAGGCGAAGGCGAAGAAGAAGGCGAAGGAGAAGGCGAAAGAGAAGGCGAAGGAGAAGGCGAAGGAGAAGGAGAAGGCAAAGGAGAAGGGTAAGGAGAAGGGGAAGAAGAAGGGGAAGGAGAGGCAAGGGGAACAGGAAGAGGAAGGAGAAGGGGAAGGCGAAGGGGAAGGTGAAGGCGAAGGAGAAGGCAAAGGAGAAGGCGAAGGCGAAGGAGAAGTTGAAGGAGAAGAAGGCGAAGGAGAAGGGGAAGGAGAAGGGGAATGCCAAGGCGAAGGAGAACGCGAAAGAGAAGGCGAAGGAGAAGGGGAAGGAGAAGGGGAATGCCAAGGCGAAGGAGAACGCGAAAGAGAAGGCGAAGGAGAAGGGGAAGGGGAAGGGGAAATGAAAGGAGAAGGCGTAGGAGGAAGCGAAGGAGAAGGCCAAGGAGAACGGGAAGAAGAAGGCAAAGGGGAAGGCGAAGGAGAAGGCGAAAGAGAAGGGGATGGAGAAGGGGAAGGAGAAGGGGAAGGAGAAAACATGGAAATTGAAAAGCAAACGGTAACCAAACTACAAAGGGAGGGAGAAGGGTAAAGAGAATGGAAAACAGAAGGCGAAGATGAAGGCGAAGGAGTAGGAGAAGGAGAAGGAGAAGGCGAACCAGAAGGCGAAGGAGAAGGGGAAGAAGATGGACAAGGAGAGGGAGAAGGAGAAGGAGAAGGAGAATGAGAAGAAGGAAAAGGAGAGGGAGAAGGAGAAGGAGAAGGTGAAGGTGTATTCGAAGGAAAAGGCAAAGGAGAAGAGGAAAGAGAAGGAAAATAGAAGGATAAGGAGAAGGAGAAGGAGAAGGAGAAGCGGACAAAGACAAGCAGAAACAACAGAGAGAGAGAGAGAGAGAGAGAGAGAGAGAGAGAGAGAGAGAGAGAGAGAGAGAGAGAGAGAGAGAGAGAGAGAGAGAGAGAGAGACTAGGGGTGGGGGGGGGTTGGGGAGGGACTAGGGGTGTGTGTTCTGAAGGTTTTGTATTGTCGTTGCTCGACCCCGTTTGCTAGTCTTCATGCTAGACATGCTCTGGCCTAGAATATGCATGTTTGTACCGAACCACACTTATCAATACAAAGGACCGTTAGAGAAATAGGTAGAGAGAGAGAGAGAGAGAGAGAGAGAGTGTGTGTGTGAGAGAGAGAGAGAGGGAGGAGGAGTAGGAGGAGGAGGAGGAGGAGGAGGAGGAGGAGGAGGGGGAGGAGGAGGGGAAGTAGAGGGAGAAGAAGAAGTTGAGGGAGACGGGGACGGAAAAGCGGAACGCGAAGGCGAAGGCAAAGGAGAAGGCAAAGGAGATGGCAAAAGAGAAGGCGAGGGAGAAGGGGAAGGAGAAGGAGGAGGGGAAGGAGAAGGGGAAGGAGAAGGGGAAGGAGAAGGGGAATGAGAAGGGGAGGAGAAGGGGAAGGAGAATGGGAAGGAGAAGGCAAAGGAGAAGGGGAATAAGAAGGGGAAAGAGAAGACATGAGAAGGAAGGGGAAGGGGAAGGCAAAGGGGAAGGAGAAGGATAAGGCGAAGGAGAAGGCGAACGAGAAGGCAAAGGTGAAGGAGGAAGAGAAGGAGGAGGAGAAGGAGAAGGAGAAGGTGAAGGAGGAGAAGGAGAAGGAGAAGGAGAAGGAGAAGGAGATGGAGAAGAAGAAGGAGAACGAGAAGGAGAAGGAGCAGGAGAAGGAGAAGGAGAAGGGGAAGGGGAAGGAGAAGGGGAAGGAGAAGGAGCAGGAGAAGGAGAAGGGGAAGGAGAAGGGGAAGGAGAATGGGAATGAGAAGGCGAAACAGAAGGCGAAGGAGAAGGGGAAGGAGAAGGAAGGGGAACAGGAAGAGGAAGGAGAGGGGAAGGCGAAGGGGAAGGAGAAGGGGAAGGATAATGGGAATGAGAAGGCGAAAGAGAAGGCGAAGGAGAAGGGGAAGGAGAAGGAAGGGGAACAGGAAGAGGAAGAAGAGGGGAAGGCGAAGGGGAAGGAGAAGGCGAAGGAGAAGGCAAAGGAGAAGGCGAAGGAGAAGGCGAAGGCGACGGCGAAGGCGAAGAAGAAGGCGAAAGAGAAGGCGAAAGAGAAGGCGAAGGAGAAGGCGAAGGAGAAAGAGAAGGCAAAGGAGAAGGGTAAGGAGAAGGGGAAGAAGAAGGGGAAGGAGAGGCAAGGGGAACAGGAGGAGGAAGGAGAAGGGGAAGGCGAAGGGGAAGGTGAAGGCGAAGGAGAAGGCAAAGGAGAAGGCGAAGGCGAAGGAGAAGTTGAAGGAGAAGAAGGCGAAGGAGAAGGGGAAGGAGAAGGGGAATGCCAAGGCGAAGGAGAACGCGAAAGAGAAGGCGAAGGAGATGGGGAAGGGGAAGGGGAAATGAAAGGAGAAGGCGTAGGAGGAGGCGAAGGAGAAGGCCAAGGAGAACGGGAAGAAGAAGGCAAAGGGGAAGGCGAAGGAGAAGGCGAAAGAGAAGGGGATGGAGAAGGGGAAGGAGAAGGGGAAGGAGAAAACATGGAAATTGAAAAGCAAACGGTAACCAAACTACAAAGGGAGGGAGAAGGGTAAAGAGAATGGAAAACAGAAGGCGAAGATGAAGGCGAAGGAGTAGGAGAAGGAGAAGAAACGAGGAGAGCATGGTCGTGAGATGATGATTGTGTGAGCTGAATGCACACTGGCTGTGCTCCGTGCGTAGGCATGGGCGTGGGATTGTGTGTGCGCATGTGCATACGCCTGCCAAGGTCGCTGCAACATGTTCTCATCCCACTGCTATCATTGCTGCCCCCATGCCTCCCACCCCGCCCCAAATCTCCCTGCCTGCCCCAATCTCCTGCCTGCCCCAAATCTCCCTGCCTGCCCCAAATCTCCCTGCCTGCCCTAAATCTCCCTGCCTGCCCTAAATCTCCCTGCCTGCCCCAAATCTCCCTCCCTGCCCCAAATCTCCCTGCCTGCCCCCAATCTCCCTGACCGTCCCACACCTCCCTGCTCGTCCCACCCATACATCCCTGCCTGCCCCATACCTCTCCCTGCCTGCCCCATACCTCTCCCTGCCTGCCCCATACCTCTCCCTGCCTGCCCCATACCTCTCCCTGCCTGCCCCATACCTCTCCCTGCCTGCCCCATACCTCTCCCTGCCTGCCCCATACCTCTCGCTGCCTGCCCCATACCTCTCCCTGCCTGCCCCATACCTCTCCCTGCCTGCCCCATACCTCTCCCTGCCTGCCCCATACCTCTCCCTGCCTGCCCCATACTTCCAAGTGGTTGCTTAGCCGCTCTGCTGGTTGTGTGTGCTCTGCTGCATTCCCCCATTGCCCCCTCGTGATTTGCTGTTTTGGTCTCCTGTGCCAGCCCGTTCAACTGCCTCCTTTCCTTTCCTGGCCTCTCTTACCTCCTCTTGCCCAGGGGTAATGTCCCCTCCCTAGTGCAGCTCCCAGGCATACCAACAATCACTGCTCCACCCATCCGCCTCCGTCTCCTCCTCCTCCTCCTCCTCCTCCTCCTCCTCCTCCTCCTCCTCCTCCTCCTCCTCCTCCTCCTCCTCCTCCTCCTCCTCCTCCTCCACCTCCTTCTTCTTCTCCTCCTCCTCCTCCTCTTCGCCTCCACCCGTCGGACTCCCACCCCATGCCATTGCCACGCATCATGTCGAGCCACACTCCTCCGCTCGCTCGCATGCTGCTGCCACCGCTGTGGCGGCACCATCGCTGGCAGCGGCAGTGCCGTGCCGCAGGCCGCTCCGCCCGTGCGTGGTGCCAGCGTCGCGCTGAACCTGCCCACCCGCAGCCTGTCGCTCGGAGGCGGCAAGTACACGCTGGCTTTAAGTGGCGATCTTGCGAGGTTTACGAGCAATGGCAGCGAGTGCCAAGAAGGGGTTCCGCATGGGGGCAACGACGGTGCTGCTGAGCGGAGAGATTGTGGATGATGCGGGGGCGAAGATCACGCCCACGGGTCCTGATGTGGACGGGGCGTACACTGCAGGGGACCTGAGAGGGTGGCCCAACGGGACAGTTGTTGGCAGCAATGGTGTGGTGCTGTATGCTGGAGCGCTGCTCACTCTTACGTCTGAGGGCACCATTGCTCTTGCTACTCCTTCCATTCCCACTGCTGCTGCCGCTGCTACCCCTGCTGCTGCTACCTCTGCTGCTGCCACCTGCTGCTACCACTCCTACTGCTGCCACCCCTGCCGCTGCTACTCCTCCTGCTGGTGCCTCTGCCCCACCCCCTCCCAAGGCTGCTGGTGAGTGTGTCTCCTACACTTCTCGTAAGCTTCTCCTATGCTTCTCCTATGCTTCTCCTATGCTTCTCCTATGCTTCTCCTATCCTTCTCCTATGCTTCTCCTATGCTTCTTCTATGCTTCTCCTATACTTCTCCTATGCTTCTCCCATTCCTCTCCCGTGCACCTTCTCCCTTTCTGATGTGGTAGGCAAAGTTTTCATTTCTCTCAAATGCTTCCTGTTTGCCCTCCTGTTTGGTACATCGCTTTGTGATTCCGCTGCACATTTCCACATTCCTCGATTCCCAAATCTCAAGTGGGCTGTTCCGACCTGATTCTGTTTCCCCAGTTGTTCCTCCTCGCAATGGCAGGTTCACTTGCTTCACCGGCCGCTGCTCTCACTGCTCTCATCACTCTCGCCCTCGCCCCACTCATGCTCATGTAGCAACGCGAAGCAATGAAGACCAGGCGTGGGCACAAGGGGGCTGTGGTAATGGTTTAGTGTTACCGTGGAGTGGAGGCATGCGGTGTTCATGTGGTGGTGGGGGTGGAGGGGGTGGTGGTGCTTGTTCTTGCTGTATTGCCTTGCCTGTGCATGTCTCTGGATGGATTGGTTGGTCGGCAAAAGGAAGTATCGTAAATTGAACCAGCCTTGAAGTAACAGCTATGCTGTGGTATAAGAATAAGTACCAGTAATAAAACTTGTGATTCGCAACCTTGCAGTAACGGCTTGTACTGGTACCAACATTGCTTCAAGCATTCAGCAAAATGCCAGTTTGGCCTGGTCAACTAGAAAGAACACACCGTACGGTCAAGGAGATTGCCCTCAATGTGCAATCTCCATGACCAAATGAGCCAATCAATCTCTTTGACTGGATTACCCTAGAAGGCCTTCAAAGTGAACAATCGAGATTATCACGGTACATGAACCATGCCTTCCATTCCACACACTAAAGAATCTTCAAGTCAGTCCACCCAACCAAAGCCAACAATAAATATGCCGGGTCAAAGCTACAGCAACAAGAGCCTCCTTCATCACATGAACCACCTCCCCGCGGCGTATTTCGATTGGTTGTTGGTGGCCGTCTTATCCAGAAAGGGTCCGACGAACCAATGGCGTGCGTCGACAAACCACCAGACGAGGAAGAAGGAAACTACCACGAAGATTCCGACACACGCGTAGTTGAAGTTGCTTGCGGTGATGGGGAAGACCATTGGTAGCATAAAGATGCTGACCGTTTCAAGGACAAAGAGAATGGCTCCAATGTTGATCAGTTTCCTGCTCTCCAATAGGCAGAGGGTGAGTGAGAGATAGAGAGAGGAGGGGAGGGGTGGAGGTGAATGAGTAGTGCCTTCTGCAAGGGTTAGAGAAGAGGAGAGAGACCATGGTTTAGGGAGGAGGGGTGAATGAGCAGCGCCGTCTGCAAGGGTTAGAGAAAAAGACAGAGATCAACTCTTATGCCCCATGCACACACTCGTACCAGGCTCGCACAGACCGAGGCAGAGCATTGCAGCAAGGCAAGGCAAGTCTTGAAAGGTCTCAAGAAACCCACATGAGGTATACATACGAGTTTCGAGACATGTCAAAAGATGTTCGCACCAGGAGCAAACCGACTGAGAGAGTGAGCACTGCTGCACCAAACCAAGCCATGCCATGCCATGCTGTGCTTTCTAACTCACCTGCCCCACGCACCCTCTCCCGCCCTCACCTGCCCCAGACGCCGACGTATTTAGAGAGGTAGAACGGGCCCGGTTCAAAGTCCTCCTCCCTTTGAATGAGCCGAAAGAAGATGGGGACAGCATAGCCGCCCACCCAGGCGACGGTGGCGAGGGAGGTGATGGCGGAGAAGAGGAAAGAGTCCTTGAGGAGCGGCAGGGAGAAGAGGATGGCGACGCCACAGCAGAGCCACACGGAGTAGATGGGCGTCTTGTCTCGGTTCACCCGCCGCCAGATGAACGCCAAGGGTAGGCCCTTGTCCCGTGATATGGCGTAGGCCTGGGGGGTTGGGGTGGGCGGGGGAGGGGTGCAGGGGGTGCAGGGCGGAGCGGAGGGGGGGAGGGGATGAGGAGAAGGTGGGGAAAAGGAGGGAATGTGTAAAGGGGAGTAGCCAGGGGATTAGTTAGGAGGAAGAGGGCAGAGTCCTCGAGGAGGGGCAGGGAGAAGAGGATGGGTGAGAAGGATGAAGGAGCAAGCACAGGCAGGGGCGGGTGAGCAAGCACAGGCAGGGGCGGGTGAGCAAGGCAAACACATGGACGGATGGGAGTGACTGACTGACCGCTCCGAGGGCTCCAAGCCAAGAAGGCCTTGCTGAATTCAGATTTGAGAATTCTCAAAAGCAACCCGGGCTGTGCAAGCAGAGGGCGGAGGGAACAGTGACTGACCGCGCGGGAGGCGGCAAGAATGCCGGCGAAGACGCCAAAGAGGAAGGCGATGTAGATGAGTGAGAGCACCACCACCGCCCCTGTGCCGCTGCCAAACCTGTGGGGGGAGGGGGGCATGTGGGGGGGGAGTGGGGCAAGCAGAGGAGGACAGTAGGGAGGAAGAGGAAGGCAATGCAGATGAGTGAGAGCGAAAGCACGACTTTTGAGGCGCCTCAAAAGACGATGAGCGTGGATGAGCGACAGCACGACGACCACCCCCCCTGTGTCGTTGCCAAGACGGTGCGGGGAAGGGGGGGAGGATGGGGTGGGCGTGGTTGATGAGGTGAGAATGAGGAGGATATGAGTGAAAACAGGAGAGGTGGGATATGACAACACATAGCGGGAAGGGGGAAGGGGGAAGGGGGAAGGGGGAAGCCATATACCAAGCCAATCACTAAGCAACTCCCGAACCTCTTATGGAGGCAGTTCTCGAGACACCCACCATGCCGCGAAGGCCTCCCGTATGATGGTAGCCAGGATCTGCTTCCAGCCCATCATGCTATCCCTGCTGGTGAGATTGCCACCGCTCTGAACACCCAAGTACCCTTGGTGAAGTCCACGGCAGGTTGCTTGCACGCGAGCAGCAGCCGAACCACTTCCCCAGCCACTTACTGAGCCACAAAGGCCTCCCAGATGATAGTCAGTACGATTGGATCTGCTGGCCGCCCGTAACGCTACCCGTACTGGTGGGATTCTCTTCGTCCTGAATGCTAAAAGTGAAGGCCACGAGCAGCCCCCGGGCGAGCCACTTACCGAGGCACCTACCGAGCTGCCCACCGAGCCACTTACCGAGGCACCTACCGAGCTGCCCACCGAACCACTTACCGAGGCACCTACCGAGCTGCCCACCGAACCACTTACCGAGGCACCTACCGAGCTGCCCACCGAACCACTTACCGAGCGAAAAACGCCTCCCAGATGATGGTAACCAGGATCTGCTGGCCGGCCGTAACGCTGTCCGGGCTGGTGAGATTCTCGTCGTTCTGAATGCAGAAGGTGAAGGCGACGAGCAGCCCCCACGCGAGCAGGCTGACCGCGGACAGGCAGAGCACCATGCTGGCTGGGGACGCGCGATCGGAGCGCTTGGTCTCCTCTGCCATGTGGGCCACTGTGTCGTATGCGTAGAGGGAGTACTGGGATAGCTGCATCGCTGCTATGAAGGCGTACGCCTGGGTAGGGTCCAGAGGGGAAGGGAGGGAAGGTGAGAGAGGGAATAGATGAAGTTGCATGTGGGTGGTGGCGGGTGCGTGTCTCTGCCATGCTGGCTGGCAGGGAACGTGTGGTTAGAGCTCTTGATTTCTTCTGCTATGTGGGCGGCGGTGTCGTATGCGTAGAGGGAGTACCGGGACAGCTGCATGGCTGCTATGAAGGCGTAGGCCCGGGGGGGGATTGGAAGGGGGATGTGCAGCAATGGGTATCAAAGTGAGAGGAGGGGCACGCAGGTGAGAGGCGTTTTTGAGGCGCCTCGAAACTTGCCTGGGAGGTGGGGATGGGGAGGGAGGCAGGGATTGGCATCACAAGTCAGAGGAGGGGCACACACTTGTGTGACACTTTGAGCAACATCAGTCCAGGGCCTGTCATGCTGGGTTTAGACGAAGAGATTCAGTGGTGCAGAGTGGTGCAAAGCGTGCGGCAATGACACATCCAGCTGCAACTTGTAGTGAGTGGAGATGAAAGCTGGCGTATAGCGCACGCACACAGGCCATAGATTGAGCGGTGCAGAATAGTGCAGAGAGGTGTAGAGTGTTGTAGGGTGGTGCAGTGGTGGCGCAGTGGCAGTGCACTGGCATTGCAGTGCGGTACTCACCACAGTGGCCAGCAAAGACACGTCCGGCTGCACGTGTTCTGGGTGAAGACCAAGGCTAGCGCCTGGCGCACATAGGTCATTTATTCAACGGTGCAGAGCGGTGTACAGTGGTGCAGAGTGGTGGAGATGGGTACTCACCATAGTGGGCAGCAGAGACACGTCCAGCTGCACGTGGTGGTGAGTGAAGACAAAGGAGGCACTCTGGTGCACTGGCGCTACCGACGGCAGCAGAATCATGATGACTATGGCGAGACCCATCTAGGGACGAAGGAAGTGGTTAAGGGCAGAAGAAAGGGTGGGAACACGGGTAGAGGGAGGTTGGCTTGGCAGCAGCAGGGGAATGGGATGGGATGACTGGCAGTAGCGAGGGGAGCAGAATCAGCTGCTCAAAGGGGAAACCCATGTGGAAGGGGAAACCCGTCTGGGGAGTAAGGGGGGGAGAGTAGCATCAGCCCGGGAGGGAAGGGGGATGGAGAATGATGGAAGAGAGGATGGGATGACTGGCGCAGCGCACAGGTGCTAGTGCTACTGCGGTGCAGCAGAATCCTGGAGACTATGGCGATTCCCATTTGGGGAGGGGGAGAGTGGTAAGTGGGAGAGGGGAGGGTGGAAGCAGGGGAATGCGGTGAGCGGCGGTATCAAGGGCAGCAGAAGAATCATGGTGTGGTGACAAAGGCGAGTCCCATCTGGGGGTGGAGCATGGGAGAGAAACATAGAGAGAAACTGATAAGTCTACCTGACCTGACCTGATAAACAGCACTGCTGATTACGGCCACACGACCGATGAACTCGATTGACAAGGAGTTGAGGATGCCGCAGAGGAGAGCACGTGAGTAGAGGGGGGGGGGGGGGGAGGAAGGAGGGGAGGAGGAGTGGTGCTGCTGAGCGGCTACAGTGAAGGGGATGCTGCTAAAGTGATGGCAACCCACCTGGTAATCATCAGCGCTCATCACGGCCACACGGCCGATGAACTTAATTGAGGAGTTGAGAGGAGGAGAGGGAAGTGTGGGAGGGGGGCGAGCAGGGGAGTGCGCGCAAGTGGGAAGGGAGGCTGACCTGACAAACAGCGCTCATCACGGCCAGATGGCCGATGAACTTGATGGGGAAGGAGTTGAGTTGAGGAGTCGGAGTGTTTGTGAGCGGGCGGGCGGGCGGGAGGCATGCATAGAGCAGGGGAGGGTTTCGGGGAGCTACTTACAAAGCATTGCTGCCACAGTAGAGACAGGCAGATTACCTGATAGACGGCACTGACGACGGCAAGGCGGCCAATGAACTTGATGGAGAAGGAGTTGAGAATGCCGCAGAGGAGAATGGCGCCCACTGTGATGGCAAACGACTCGTAGTTGTTCAGTAGGTAGCCTCCCCCGTTGGGCCCTCCTGGTGATGGGAAGGAGGGAGGAGGGAGAGAGGAGAGGAGGGTAGCCAAGGGAGCAGGGAGGGGGAGGAAGAGGAATGAGTGAAGAAGAATGAGGGTGTTTGGTGCACAGGCGCTACTGCAGGCAGCAGAATCATGATTGGCTGACACGAAAAAATGATGGGAATTGTGATAGGCAGGAAACACGAGTGGAAAGGAATAAAGAGAGGTGAAGAGGTGAGTTGCAAGCAAGAAGTTTAGAAATATTTTCCAATGTAAAAGATACATGAAAGAATAGTGGAGGAAAAACCCCCCCATGGCCCCCCCAAGGCCCCCCTAAGGCCCCCCTACCCCCCAACTCTCCTCACAGCCCCTCACACAGCACCCCACCCCCACCCCCCCCCCCCCTCGCATCGCCCCTCACACAGCCCCCCTCACACAGCCTGGCCGGGCCAGAACTTACATGCATGCCCTGGTTTCTTATTGTCTGTCCCTGTCCCTGCTGGCCTCTGTCTCTCTGTAATAATTGACTTCCATTTCGGTTTCTGCTTGTCCCTGTCCCTCTCCCTGCTTCTGTCCCTGTCTCTGTTTCTCTTCCTGTTTTGGTTTCACATCCCGAGCCTCCGCTCGAGGTCTGGCCTGACCTCCTTGGGTCGCCCCGGACCTCTCCAGGCCTGGCCAGGGCACGGCCACACCGGCTCATATAGCACGCCAAACACGCACGAGTACCTACCTAAGTTTGGAATCCATTTGTCAATCCTAGAGTATGTATTTAATATCCTACTTGTTCATTGTGTCTTCACAGCAGAGAGCGTCAAGATGGCGCCCCGCAAGGGAGAACCCCACCTGCCAAAGGTGGGGTGGGGTGGGGTGGGGAGGAGGGACGGATGGGGGGATGGCGGGTGTGAGGGGATGGCGTGTGGCGGGTTCTGAAGCTTGGCAGATGTGGCGAGTGGTGGGGAGGAGAGGAGGTGAACACAGGGGAGGAGAGTTGAGCAGAGGGGAGGAGAGAAGGTGAACGAAGGGAGGAGAGGAGGTGAACGAAGGGGAGGAGAGGAGGTGAATGGAGGGGAGGAGAGGAGGTGAACGGAGGGGAGGAGAGGAGGTGAACGGAGGGGAGGAGAGGAGGTGAACGGAGAGGAGGAGAGGGTTTAGCATAGGAACTGGCGGGATGCCACGTGTGGTGCGGCCGAGCCGAGCCTCTTACCTGGCTGTGACGAGCCTCTCACCTGGCTGTGACGAGCCTCTCACCTGGCTGTGACGAGCCTCTCACCTGGCTGTGACAAGCCTCTCATCCGGCTGTGACGAGCCTCTCACTTGGCTCTGACGAGCCTCTCATCTGGCTGTGACGAGCCTCTCACCTGGTTGTGACGAGCCTCTCACCTGGCTGTGACGAGCCTCTCACCTGGCTATG